AGCCGTCATTGTTGTTTTGGCGGGTCCGGGCTGGGGATTCGAACCCGCCACCTTAGGTGTATGTGGCTGGCGCCTTAGCCAGTTGAGCTATAGGCGCTGAGCCAACCATCCATTTTTTAAAAAATATTTTTGATCCATGGTTGGTTGAATCAATAGATGCGGAAGGCATGGATAAGGAGGGCCAGCTGTGTATTACTTTTTAAAAAGAAAGAGACCCTGGCTGGCCATGGTGGCTCATGCCTGTAATCCTAACACTCTGCGAGGCGGAGGTGGGTAGATTGCTTGAGCTCAGGAGTTCAAGATCAGCCTGAGCAAGAGCAAGATTCCATCTCTGCTAAAAATAGAAAAACTAGCCGTGTGCCTGTAATCCTAGCTACCCAGGAGGCTGAGGCAGGAGAAGGATCACTTGAGCCTAAGAGTTTGGAGTTGCTATGAGCTAGGATGCCAGAGCACTCTACCCAGGGCAGCAGAGTAAGACCCTGTCTCAAAAAGAAGAAAAGAAAGAAACCCACAATAAATAACATTTTTATCTTTTCAAAGAACGGAACTGATATGTTCCTGGGACATCTACACCAAGAGGTGATATTTAGATTGTAAATTTAAAAGTAATGACTAAGCCATGCTTGTAACTATTTTTCAGACCTGCTATGTCTTTGAAAATAGGCCACTCTAGAGCAGCGTGAGAGATGAGGATGCTGACCCTGGGCACTCATCAGTGCCGAGCCCTGTGTAAGGAGAGCTCCCTCTTTCCAGGACAGAAATAAAAGAAATAAAAGAGACCTTCTGCTCTTCATCTTGAATAAAGACAGCCTTTCAACCCTAACACTCACAGTCTTTTTCTAAAAGGCTTCCCTTATATCCTCTCAAGATTGCATGAAATGAACTTAAGAGAACAAGTGGCAAAACCAGCCACAAATTTCAAAGGGATTTCAAAGAATCCAGAGGCTATCAGTATTTCTTAGGTGTGAAAGGCAAGGGTGACTATAGGCGAAAGGCCTATATGCCTCTGGCCAAAAAAGCTGTTTGAGAGAAAGCAGTGAAAAGACTTTGTGCAGGCATACTTGTGAAAAATAGAGGCAGAATCCCATAAGGCCAGGTTGGTTGAGGGCCTAAAAACTCCCTGATCTAAGGTTGGCCTGGTCAGTTGCAGGCGTAAAAACTCCCTGACTTAAGGCCCACAATGGGAGCAGAGGTTTGTGCACAAATTTCTGTATGCACTAGAAGTTTCTTAACTATGCCTTGTTTCAAGGATCAAAGTAATTGCCTCCAAATAGCAAGGTCGGTAGAAGAGACCTTCAAACTGTCTCTTTCCTCCATTGGTTCAGGCTTCATCAGATAAGAACAAAAGAAGTAACAGCTAACAACATGTTCTCCATTAAGTTATGTTAAACCGGGTTATGTTGAAAGGGTTATGCTAAAAGTTGTATGTTGGGTGGATTATCAGATTACTAGGAAGGAGCTACTTACAAGGCAGGTAGTCACAAGATGTTTAAATGGATTAATGAAGTCATTCATGTCCAATGTGCATGTGCAGAGGAAAGCCATTGACTTACTGTACGCTTGTGCAGAGAGATTGTAATGAATATTAATGAGGTTATTGCTGTATAGTGCGCATGCATAAGATTTCCTATATAAACCAACGGCAAATAAAGAAGCTTGCCATTTTTAAGGGGACCAGACGTCCTGCTTTTGGTGGGACAGTCCCGATTCCTAACAATTTGTCCCGTGTCCCACGGCGTTTTTAAAAAGTCCCGATTTTTGGAAAGAATGTACGACAAGCTAGGGAACAGCGGGAGAATGGGAAGGGAATGTACGGGTTTTCGCCTGCTGAAAAGGTTAATGTAACTTCATTTGGAAATGAAAAGGCTAATGTAAACTCCCTGCTCCCCTCCTGGGCAAGGTATCAGAAGGAGACTGGCTCCCTCCCTTGCTTCTAGGCAAGGACA